CTAAGGAGGAGGGGATGCATGTGGGTGTGTTCAGTATAGAGGATGCCAACTAGCAAAAGAGAAGTATTGGGGCAATAGAAGTGGCAGCTCTTCAGTGGGGAAACTGGTTACTGCTCACCACCTACAGCAGAAATATTTTCCTCTGGGTCAAGAATGACTAAGATAAGGTGAATTCAAACTAGGGACAAGGAAAATTGCTCTGTGCCCCAAAAGGCAGAGAAGTCCAAAATAACCATCCTCGTCAAACACAGAAATGACCAGATGCTCTGCCTGCAAGTGATGGAGGTGTCTGTACAGAATCAGGACCAACCATCCTCAGAGATGAGCTCATCTAGAACCCAGAGTCCAAAAATTACCTTCTTCCAGTGTAAGAAATGTCTTATTTATTTTCTGCTAACCAATTATTTACCCATACAAGGAGTTGCCTATGGCTGATTAGTCTTAAAATACTTTGACAAGAAACTATGTCAAAAGCCTTTTGGATGTCTAAATAAATTGGAATTGAAACAGACTGCTGATAACCACATGGCTGCTGACACCCTCAAAAGACTCCAGCAGGTTTGTTAATAGACTTCCATTTATAAAAGTCATGCTGTGTCTTCTCAAGTGTATTTGATTTATCCAGGTACCCATTAATTTTATTTTTTTACTGTAGATTCTAAAAAAACTCTCTTGAATAAAGATAATGGGCTTACAGGCCCACAGGACATCAGAATATTGTAAAAGTCTGCAGGATCTCAGCTGACTCTTCTTCTATAACTGGACTAGTACAATTTCAGACAACAAAGCACTGATTAACTGTATATTTTAAAAACCCCTATTTTATCAGACTATATGTATTGTATGCACATGTGTGTATGTTTCAAAAATGTGAAAAATGCAATCACTTAACTTTAACTATTACATTGCAAAAAAAATCCTAATATGTCTCATTTGCTTTTAAACAAATAATACAAACACCATATTTTCCAGACTGCTCAACCTCAGATCCTGACTTTGTTCTCTTCTGCTAGTGAAATACAACCTTGCTTCAGTGGGGTCAGAACTACGTCAGCAGTGGTGGTCCTCTTCTGCATCATCCCCTGAGCTGCTTTAAATGACACAGACTCTACCTGATTGTTCCATGCTGCTGCATATGTGACACATCTGCTCTGCCATCTTGTTACTCATGCTGGGAAGGGAAACTGAGAACACATGGCCAGACCACCAGTCGCTTGGTCCTGCTGTGACAATTAAAGGTGAATCGCAGCTACAGGTTTCTCTTGGCCATCTGCTCCTTTAAGGAGAAACATGGCTTCAGACTGCCCAAAATCAGTATGTTCCAGGCAGTATTTGCCCTTTGTACCTATCAGAAACTCTCACTACTCCTTGAGCCCATGAGTCCTACAAGGCAAACCTGTATATCATTCTTTAATTGAGGCACAGGTCCTCAGCTCAGCTTATTAGTTTGCAGTTAGGGCTTACTAGGAAGGGAAAATCTTACATTTCCTTGTCCCTGTCTTGCTCTTTTTCACTGTCCTCATCCCTGTTTCCAGCCGTGTGATACACCACTCAGTCACATTGGTGAGATTTCCCCTTCTCAGAAGCAGCAATTTTTATGTTGCTTCAGTTCCACTTAAAGTTACAGCAAAAGGAAGAATATGTCAAGGAGAAAAATTAAATCATGAAAGGAAAACACAGACATGAATTAAAAACCTTAATGAGGTACTCCTGCCTAAGACGTTATTTCATGTTTGAAAAGATATGAGGGGTCCAACACTACCTTCTTGAGAAAGGTTTCAGTCTGCTTAATCAGCTCAAACCAGCCAGCTGATGAACCTGACGATTTGCCTCTCGGTCTAACCACGTGATTTAGTTTACCATTCCAAAAGACAAAACTTGCAAGGGTGTGATTGTACATGCAAACTAAACTGGCTGAATTATAAAATTCCAGGAATTGATTTGCATGTTTTAACTGGGACATGAACTTGTTGAAGATAAATTTGTTCCCCAATGAGATTCCTTCTTAAATTAATGTTTATCATTAAGAAGAAATACAGGTGAGTAAACCTCTTTAAAAAAAATGCAGGACTTGCAGTCTCAGAGACCAAAATATTCTCTACTAACTGTAGGAAAGTGATTAATGCATAAGTATCATTTTTCCTGGACAGCTGAGAAGAAAAAAACCAAAAACATTTAGACACCTTGGAAAACCCAGCTCCTGTCATCACTTTTCTGGCCTACATGGCATTTCTGGCTTGAGTACCTCGACTTGCAGAACATAGGATATTTATGCAAGCCTCTCGTTAATTTTTTCAAGTCTTTTTTAGTCTGACTGAGATCTAGTGGGGCTCGCATTTATCTGGCCAGATTCCACTTGACACGGAGAAGGAGTCCATAGCATCTTGTACAACGTGGGCAGAACCATTTTCTCAGGACAAATTTCTCCCTGTAGAACAGCTGCAACTCTCCTGGCTGATGCTTAGACAACTGTGAGCTGAAGATAACCCGCTTCTCTACTAGTAACCAGCTCTCTCACTATACCAGCAGAATCACTTACCTGTTGCCATCATTGCTAGTAACTGTTAAATACAGGAGTAACCCTCTGAAGTGTTGGGATCCTCTGCAGATATCTGAAAGAAAAAAAAACTATAGCTGAAAATCTCAAAACTCAGAAACTGCTGGAGTTCCTCCCTTGTAAAAAAATGCAAGTCAGAAGAATTCGTGTGGGACGGAAAGAGCTGTTAAATACTTCAAGTGCGTTGAGTTTGTTCTCTTCAATTGCTATCTGCCCAAATTGGAGGCAGTGCTGAAATGCGATATCACCTGGAGACATAAATTAGTTTGCTACCTAACAATACCCATTTGCAGGGTTTCTGTGCAAGCCAATGGAAATAAAGTGGTGTTTTTTTTAAGAGAGAGCTTGTATAAACACCACTCTTCCCCTGCTGAGATGAAATGAATTATAGTCTGCTCTTTTATAGCTTAGCTGGATTGAGCTGTGTTCTTCAGAAAACCAGCTGTATTAATACTTCTTGTAACCCAGAGCTGAATGATTGAAAAATGCATTGGATCTTATCAATGGAAAGAAAACCTTTGCGACTGATTGTTATAGGAAGTACAGTACAGTAATGTCCTGTCCTAAAATCTGCTATACCAAGTGAAGGTGAATTGCAACCATGGTCATGTTCAACACATACTTATGATCAATACATATATAACACAATTTAAATAACTGCGGTGTCAAGATTAATAATTGCATGTATTATTAAAACCGATTAATATATAGATATATTTCCAATTATAGTAGAAATCCTCATGTTTTATTTTAGCTCCTTTGACAAAAATAACAATATCATTAACTATTTAGACACATGAAATTAGAAAATCATTTCAGTGCCTTCTGCTTTTAGCTATACCACCCAATTATATGATACATTTGCCTCAGGAATCCCATTCTCTTCACCCCTACTGTGAACATTCATCCCCACATCTGAAGTGCACTTCTCTACTGCCTAAATCATGCCAATTGAATGGTTTGTGCAGTTGTGCTGAAAAACAGAAACGCTGATAAGATCCTGCTGAGGGATAAAATAACCTTGTGCAAAAATATGAGATGATGTGGGCAGGGGAAAATGGTTGGGAAGGATTTCTAACTCAAGCAATTTTTGGATCTGTTTTGTAACACGCTATTAGCACTATTGATGGGGAATAGTGAACTGTGAAGAAAATGCAAAACTGAGGATCTACGGCTGGAAATTTCATAAACTGGATTTTTCATTTAACTACTTTTGTGCAGCAAAAAATACTGCACCAAACTGATTGATCTACAACTGGTTTTCTTGTTTCTGAAAAGCACTATAATCACAGTGTTTAGACTAAGGACAGAAGAATCTATAGAAATCAAGATCCACGTAACCTACCTCAGGATAGATCAGCTTAGGCTGTCAACAAACAGAGAAGAGTCTGGAATAAACCAAATATGCACAGGCTTTGAAGTGAATCAGTTATGACTGATGTGCTCTGGGAAGCTCCTCTGCTTCTGTGCTGCTGATGAAAAATTGTTAGCCTTTATGGCACATGTTCTCAGCAAAAGCACACAAAGAGCTATATAACAGCTAGTTAACTGAGAAACAAACACATGGTGAAACTGTATTTTAATTCATTTTCCTTAGTGATATCATGTTAATTGGCACAGCTATAGATTTCTCTTAACCATTTAAATTACTTGACATGCACATAAGTAATGTAGTATTGTTATCAAGGTTTTAAAGTATTTGCTACTCTAGCATCCAGGTATCGGTGTCCTCAGCAACATTCGAACCGAAGTCAGACTAGCTTCTGTTGAGCTGTTCCAAACGACACTGCAGTAATGTGAATCTTGACTGGTATGTTAAAAATGTAACAAGTATGGCTCATGCTACCTTGTTCTTCCTGGACTCTTAGAAATTAGTTTACTCTCTTATTCTTAGGATAGATCGTTTCTGATACTAAATGCTGATTAAGAGACATATTTGAAGTAATCTGTGCATGGGCAATGATCAGGAGTTTTAATTCAGTGGAACAAACTACCCATAACTGAGGCACAATTTCTGGGAAGGCTGCACACTGTACTTTTACCTATGTGTGATTTGTAAAGGTACAGGCCAGAGGGTATTGCGTCATGAAAGGGGATAAGAATATCACTCTTTAGAGTTTGATTTTTTTTTTTTTAATTTTTCATTGTAATAAGAACTTTTTGTCAGAGATTTGACAAAGACATATTGTCTAATTAATATAAGATCTCCAGATTATTTTTTTTTTAATTTTACTCCTTGTTCTCATAATTTCTGCTAAAGGAACTATCTCCTTGAACATCTAAAAATAGGTTGTACAAAAAAATGCATAATACTGAGAACAGTCCTCCAATACCAAGGACAATAGAAGAAACAAGCTTATTCCGTTTCTGGTTACAATGATTTGTCCAGTATAGGGAAAAAATCCCAAAAAAACCTACGCAACAAGAACAATTAATAAGTACACAAAGTACACAAGTGTGTTTATTACATTTTTGCAAGCACTTTGTTCTACATTTCAAAAACGCCACCATCAAGCTGTTGGCACATTTATGTACAAAACAGATTAATTGTAATGCCTGCTACAAAGCATTCTTTGTGAAAATACAAACTCTAATACCAGAGAAGAGCCAAAAGCATTAACATCATTACATGAGTTTAAAAGACATAGTTTTAAAAATCAGCACAAACGTTTTAAGACACAAAACTGAAACACTACAATATAGAATCCAAAAGAGGTTCCTAATACTTTTTGCAGAACTGTAATACCGGTACTGCACATTATCAGAAAACTGTTGACCCCGTAGAACAGCCTAAGTGTAAAAAAAAAAAAACCCAAACCCAAAACCCCAAATCAAAAATGCAACAAAAAAACCCCCAAAACAAGCAAAAGAAAAGAAAAAAATTCAATCAACTAATACTACTTAATGCATTATCATGCCACAAGTAACTATAATATTACCCTCTACTTACTACAAGAATTGTTAAAAATTACTGATGATGCATGACTAGTAATAGTACAAAGAAGAGTTTTACTCAAGAAGTTTTATTAGAAATGCACTTACACTGAGAGAGAATTCACAATGGTCCAATAAGTGCACAAAACTACCTAAGATTTTTAACACTGACAAAAATGTCTTGTCAGGCTACATCACTTTAAAAGACACTTTACAGCATTCTTGTAGCATTAGAAATAGGCAAAAAAAAAAAAAAAATCCACCAAATTTGGTCCAATAATACTGACTTTTCTTAAATAGGGTTTTTTGTTTTGTTTTTGATACAGGTAATTCTTTCAAATTAAGATGACCTATCTTTCTGATAACATTTTCCTATCAAAATAAAGGTTCAAATATATTACTACACTTTCAAATAATAAGCTCTGTAGTGGTCTTTCACCTTACTTTAACGTAATACAGGTAAACCAATATGTGTAGGAAAGCTAGAAGCCAAGCTATAACATTTATGGAAGTCTCCTTTAATATATCTTTTACAGTTCAGACAGGTGCAATCCATTTAAATTTTTAAAGCAGGTAAAAAGACATCTGACTCCTATGGTCACTGTATTTTTGATATATTACTTTCATAAATGTAGCTAAGCAGTAATTTCTTACATCATCACATGAACAGCTCCAATTTAGCATAACCATCATTGAATTAAAGAGAGATCATTCTGTAAAAAACTATGGATAACTATATCACTGAATTAACAATTGTCTATATACCATAACTCTTTAACAGGTAGCCGTGGTATTGAATTCCTTCAAAAGGCAAGTGGCCATGCATTGTTAGCACCACGGTCTGCATGCTCACAATACAAACAGGAATTATCACCCATGGAACTTGGAACAAGAGAATATTCTTTAAAAACATCAATAATAATACAATGTTAACAAAGATAAGAAGCACTTTTTTATTTTTTTCCTTTTTCTCTTTTTTTTTCTTTTTTTTTTTTTTTTGTCTGTTTGTTTGTTTTACCCACTATTACAAATTTAGAAATTGCACCTTTGATTGTTTAAAACCTTCTTAGGACCTTCATTCAAGTTGATCAGGGTCCATCTGGCAAGTTTTCCAAATATAAAGGAAAGTCATCAGAGTGTTTTCTGTATATATTGTACATCATGTACAATGGTCCCTTTGAAGTATACCTGTAGTTAAAGTAGTTATTGAACTCAAAACTAAAAAGTATAAAAAGCTACTTTTTTTCCAAAAACATATAAGAAACAATGCAAAAGGTGTTATGCATAACACATACAAAGTGATTTAAAAAATCAAACACATATTTGTATTTGACAATAGTTTAGTATCCTTGATCTAGCAGAACTAATTAGCTTAAAAGGATTCAGAAGAGGTTATTTAGGAGCTTTGTGGTAGAGAATGGTCAGACAAAGAACTAATTAAGAAACCAAGTGCTAGACAGCCAAGAATTGTACATGGGCAATATGTAAGTCACCCAAACTATCTTTTGTGAGAAGCACTTTCAATTGTTTTAAAAATGATTGGATGGCCTCTAGTTAAACAACAAAGCATTCACATGTTAGAAAGTAAGACAAGGTTTCTTTTATGTGTAGGCATTAAGCCGCTCTTTAGAACGAGTAGAATGAATGTCATGAAGCTCTTGTTCCTCCTTTGATTTAATATCCTCATACTTTTGCATTCTGCAAGCATCTTTCACATAGGCCCAGTTGGCAGACAAGACCATGAGATAATGGACCTGTAAGAGAGATAACATGCAGTTAGGAACCAACAGAGCTAGTCAGAACAGAGCAAGTTCAAACGTGAAAGCTGTACGACAGTTTTCATCAGAAGGAACTAAGCATTGCTAACTCAAGAAGTAGTACAGCAACACCATGTGAAGTTCAAGCTTGAGCTTCATCAATCCTCAGATTACTCAGCTCACAGCTGTCACTGTTACTGTAAGTAGCAGTTGGTAGCAATGGTTATAAAAAAAAATAAAATTAAAAGAGCTGAAATAATGAACAAATCATCCCAGCTTTACTATTTCAGCTAGTCTGCAAATCTACATGGCAAAATGCCTTCTGGTTATTTCTTGCAGACTTTTCCCCATTGAATCTCTATTTGTTAAAGTAGTTGCTTAAGACAGAAATATGCCACGGACACATCTGTAGTTTTACAATTACACATCTAATAAAATTACAGAAGGATTTGCTCTTTCTTTCTTGTTAAAGTTAGCATTAGCTTTCCCTTTAACCATGATTTCTTTATTTCACCTACAACTAGCTATTTTGTCAAAACCAGTTAATTGGGGAAAAGTTTGCCAAAAATTGAAAAATATATACTTACAAATAAACTTGAGGTCTGAAAAGGGCACACACCTGTCACCATTTAATTTAGTAATTTTAGTCATTTTATTTCACTTATACCACAATTTATGTAATTCTTTAAAATGCATAGGGAAAAAAAAAGTGATTTGTAGGATCTTAAAAGATGACTGCTGTATACATCTTGAGCAGAAACAATGTTCATGTTCCATGTAAATTTTTGAATATGTAAAAATACTTTTATTTATTTTTTAAGAAAACAAAATTAAGAGCTTTCCAAGTGTTCCATCCAAAAGCAAAATAAAAAATTATCTGAAAAAGAAGGGGAATAAACCCCCATGGCCTGTGATTATTATGCAACTTTTTGGTGAGTATTGGAGATTGGACCTGACTCACTTGCAGCCAACACGAATCACTGGGTGAGCTATGATGATATACCCCCAAAGAGCTTGGTTAATTTATGTTAGCAAATGCGGAGGACAGAATGTCTATGAATACATCTGAGGATTAAACACCAGTTAAAGGATATTGGCAATATTGTCACATGAACAAATGTTTTTCACATGGCTTTCAATAAATTTAATCTCAAAGTCAGTGAAAGGTATCTTTACAGTAGGCAAATTACATTCTGCAAATGTTTTCCTTTCTAAATAGAGGATGTAAAACACCTTAATTGCCTTTGAGATGGAGCTTAGTAGTTTATAAAAATCACATGGTATAGCTGCCAATAGCTTGGTATGCCAATGGCTTGCCATCTACCAACTTAAGAGCTGGTAGATGTCCAGTCTTCTGAACGGTGACCATGACTGGTCGAACAAGTGACAAATTTTAACACAACACCAATACAAGGAATGAAGCTGAGGCCTCCAAAAAACTGCTGCCAAAAATATTTTATTCAAAACTCTTCCTACAAGGCCAGTCGCCTGCTATCTGACTTCAGTTCCTTCTGGAGTTTGTTTGCTTAGCCAGCACGCTTGGGGCCATTTACTTTGACTGCCTATTAGCGCAACAAGCTGCTCTCCTGTCCACTTCGGCTTCCCAAGTCTGGGCCTTTCAGGACATTTGCAGACTTTGAAAGCTTTCCTTTCAAAGGTGGACTTCAAATGTCTTACACCTTCAGTCTGCTGGATCTGCTTGCAAGGAGACTGACCTTCTCAAAGCCTGTTTTCCTCTCACCTGAGGACATGCTCTGTTGGCTCTGTATTCAGCCAGAAAATAGGAATGTTTGGTAACAGTATTCAAATGGTTTATTCTAGGACTCTCTGGACATTTATTCATCCCCCAGCGGGCTTTCAGATGAAAGATAATTTCCTAAAATCAAAGAGATTCCACCCCTCCCTAAGAAATTGAGAAACTAAACTAGAATTTAATTAGTGGAAAATGGAATAGAGTAATCATAAAACCACCTTGAGATTATGCAAATTCTCTGGTTCATAATGGACTGCTGTAGATATATGACTATCTTAGATTCATACTAAATGAACAGAATCCACTTAGTATGTTCTTTCTTTTTTGGAAATGCTAATATCTGCTTTTTCCACAAATGTTTGGTGGCAACTGTTGTTGATTAGCACAGACTAATGTACATTTCTTAATCTGGATAATTAAGATCAAGGTGAAACCCTTCAAAGGACCAAATATTTCCAGCGTCTTTTTTGTCCTGGTGGTTTATGGCAAACTTTCACCCAGTTAATCCCTATTTGAGGAATACAGACTGAGTTGAGGAGCCATAAAATAGGAAGAAGTGTTCAGAGAATCTGTCCTCTAGGAAAAAGACCACAGACAGTAGTATTTCTACATATCCTTAGGAGTTTTCTAGTATCTATAGTACAAACACTAGCAGCACAACCTGTGATGATAATGAAAGTGTTGGAGATGGCAGCATGTACTGTGTTTCTCTGGGACACTTTCTGGTCATAATTTAGTGTACAGGAAAAAGAAATGCCTTGTATCTAACTCAGCTGTTCCAAAAGCTTTCACCATGAGTAGTCTCTGGATCAGGCATTTCTAGATCAAATGAGAGATGCTAATGGTGAATCCTCATTCCGCTGAATGAAATGCCTTGAATTTCCTCCACAGTAGAACTCTTGAGAAAAATCAAAAGAAACAGGCTGGTAATCCTAATAATTCTGTCATCTCAGACAATTATAATTTGCATCCAATGAAAATGCCAGTGCTGGTCCTTTGAGGGTAAGATTTCAATTAAAAAATACAGTATGAACCTCAAAAATTTGTAGACATGAGAATCCTAGAAGTGGGGGGTATGTGAGCAGTGTACTCACATCTTCCCAACCTTTTAAAAGGCACATTTCTTATCCTCGCAAAACATTTGGTAACAACCTGGTAAGAGATAAATTTAAACCTAATGGCTTGCAGTTTCACTTGCCTTTTCTTCTTCTAGTTAAAAAAAATAGACAAACTATTCTGAAGGTACATTGACCACAGTCTGACCTTCATCAATCTCCATTCTTCACCCATCCCTTCATTTAAAAGTTACAGAAACAAATTTCTGGGATAACTGTTGAAAACTCCTGGAGTTCACATTCACTATAAGTAGGATGACTCTCCTGGAAACAACTACTTTAGCTTATATAATGAATATAATCTCAAATACATACCCATGTTATACAATGACATATATATTTAACAGTCCCACCACCTTTGCCTTTTGTTTAACACCAAGTTCCTAGATAACATTGTCACACTAAGGAGGTCATCTCTAAGTGGCTGTCTAATTGCATTTCACACTTCCATGACCTGAATTGCTCTAAGCCAGTGGGGCCCTGTCAAGGCTTATTCAAATTGAAGCAGGGCAGCTTCCACAGGCTGCCTCGGGATGTTTCAATTACAGACATATGCAAGACAGTGCAGGGTCTTTCCATACTCTATAAACGTTCCTGCTTAGATTTCTTCATAAGGTGAAAGAATGCTTCAATCTTTCACAACTGTAGAAATGCATCTAGGCTATGAAGAGTTTGGCATTTGTTTTGGTTTTGTTTTGGGACATGTCATTATCTTAGCAGGGCAGAAGTCTAAATAACTTTTTTCCTTCCCCTACCATGCATCTAATATCCTGCAGAAGAACACAAGCCTGCTGGGGGAGAGAAACTAGACCACTTATACATTTCCCCTGTTCTTGTTTCAGAATTGATTGCATCTCCATCTTAGAGGACATAACATCTGTGGAAGTTCAGGCTGACGAGTACTGCTCACAAGGCAACTTTTGAGAAGGAAAACTGTGTGTTTCATAATTCAGTTTTGCTGTAGTGGTTTTGGGAAAACAGCACAGGCAGGATGCTTAAATAACCTTACAATCAACCCTTTGGGATGGTAGAGTTTACATTTAAAGAACGTCATGTCTTCTGTTTCTCTCTGACACAACATTGAAAACAGTAAAACTAATATGTGTTACTTCAATGATCATTTCTGTATTCATTTATTATCCATTCAGACATAAGAAAGAACAGTAATGTTCAGAATCATACATAGTCCAAATTAAGTATTAAGCGTTGGCTATTTTTTTCTGTGCTCAAGACTCGCAGAAAGTATCTACAACATAAAAAATTCTATCGGGTTATTTTCATCTGGGGCTGAAGTTTAAGAATGGTAGTTTCTGAAAACAATTTGACATTCTCCTCTGCAAAGTAAAGCTTTCCCTTACATATATTGTAAAAAATACATGAGTTTTTCTATATATCAATCCTAACTTGTAGGTTCATTCTCTTCTTGAAACCCAAAACAGCATTCTCTCTTGGAGAATAGAGGCAACTAGGGAATTGTGAAAAATTTCCATTATTCTTATACAAATCTGAGACCAAGAGAGAGATTACAGTAGTAGATATGGAAAACTTATGACTTGTGATCAAACGGTTTTGCAAGTATTAACAATATTTTGTTGTTTTTGCAATAAACGACTACATTCTTCTAATATATATTTTTAAAATACAGATTAATGAAAAGTATCCTGGTGATAGATGCTCTTAATATTTATGGACAAGCTGATTTCTTTAGTGAATTTCGTCACAAATATTGACATTAGAAGAGTTAAAGAAATCTGCACACATTAAATAATCTGGCTCTTGCAAATGTCCACAAATCCAGAAGTGAGGACATATGAGGAGCGTATCAGTGTCATGACTTAAAATGTCATTTAAAAGAGTGGATTTTACCAATTCAGTTATTCAGCAGTCTCATTGATGATGCACTACTATTACTGGCTGGTAATAAATAGAAAATACTAACTACTTTAGTCAGATGGACTATTCTAGTTTAAAGTAAATGTTTGCAAGTAATGTTTTAAAATTGCAATAAATTCATAAGCTTTGTCTTTGGTAAAGGACTGGTATTTTAATCTCTATTTTTTCTGTTAAGAAATCTTCTTTAATTTCACAAGCATGGAGATCTGCTACTGTTGTGGATATATAGAAAGACTAACTTCATTAAATCATATTTGTGATTATTCTTGCAACAGCACATATAGGGAAGGGCATTGGTTCTCCAGTGACTTAAATGGCTTCTGCACACTTTGTGCCTCACCCTAGCCCATTGTTGATATCTTAGCACCTTCCCCTAATTTGAGATTAGGATCTGGGGAAAAAAAAAGATGGTTTCTTCTTCCTACATGAGACATTTAGGACCCAAAATTCATTTTCCTTCCCCTAAATTACTTCTTCCTTGGGAAAGCAAACTTCTCTTAAAGAAAGAAGATCTGTTACCATGCTCATGTCCAGCCACAAAATTCTGAACGTTCCCCTCATGTCTGATCTCCAGTTTTTGGGCTACTGCGTCAAGTGTGAAGCACACTGCTCAACCTATAAATGTGGTCTGGTGGTTTTAGAAATACCACCATTAAAGAGTGGAATGTGCTAGTCTTCACCAGGTACTTAACAGATCACAAAGGTAGGTTAAAACCAAACAATTTAATTACAAAATTTAAATATATACTACACAGTTTCAAACATTTCATAAAGCATACATTTATCAGCATTTGGACACTACAAAATTTATGAGCACTTAGGTCCTGAACTCATATTTCTGTTGAAACAGTCAGTGTTATCATGCCTGTTTTGTGCAGTCACAGAATCCAATAAAAAGCATACTTGGGTATGGGTAACCCTTCAAAAATAGATGAATAAATGTGAGTCAAAGTGAATTCTTAATGGATTAGTGCTTGGTGTAACACATCTGTGGCATCTTTGATATGGTACTGTGAGCTTTGAAGGATTTTTTTTAAAACTTCATTGAAAGTATCATGTATTTAAACCACATGGCTCAATGTACCTGCTTAATTTGCTTCCACTGAAGACGTGTTTGTTTTCCCTGAAAATCTTTTGGTGGCTGTTCTGATTCAAAACTCTTCTTTGAAATGCAGAATTGTTATCTGAACAAATTAGCATTTGATAATTACTATTGAATATACTTCAAAAAAGGCACTGGAGAACTACTGGTCTCTTGGATACACTTTTCTAACACTAATGTATGTATTATAGTAATTACTATCTCGTCACCATTTTTTCAGCTAGAAGTAAAGTCTCAGTTTGGAAAATGAATTAAATTATTAATATAAATTATATTCTACTACTATACTTCTTATTTGTGGTCTTAAAACAAAATTACATTGAAAAAATATATTTTTCATTTAGTTATCTCTACTGTGTTGGCAGGGTATTGAGTAATACTGAAAAAAATGGCAGAGAACAACAACAAAAATTTTTTCAGCTAGAAGTAAAGTCTCAGTTTGGAAAATGAATTAAATTATTAATATAAATTATATTCTACTACTATACTTCTTATTTGTGGTCTTAAAACAAAATTACATTGAAAAAATATATTTTTCATTTAGTTATCTCTACTGTGTTGGCAGGGTATTGAGTAATACTGAAAAAAATGGCAGAGAACAACAACAAAAAATCACTAATGCAACAGGAATACTAGCTTCATTGAACATTCTCTGATTGTTCTTTTTTATAAATGTAATTCTAAGGAGAATGAAAAATTTATGGCCCTAGGATTCAATGAAAAATTACTAGCAGCAGTAGAAATAGTAATCATCGCTAACGCTTATGGAATGCATCAATACCAAGTAACAGTAATTTTTCATTTCCCATTCCAGTGTGTATCATACAAACCTACACTGATACAGAATCCTCATTCTAAAAATATGTTTAAGCAACATGGCAGATGAAAGGCAGAAGAGCAGGGCACTAGCTCATACACTTTTTTTTCTCAGTGGAACATTCTCACTGGCAAAATGTAATCA